TATATATATATATATATATATATATATATATATACACACACACATTAGAGTTGTAGTTTAAGCAGAACACTCACCATGTTTTCTTCTGTCAATGATGATTTGCCAGATAATTTGGTTCACTATATAGTGATGGGGAACTGTGAGGTCAAACAGCATGCACAGATACTAAGGAAGTGACTCATCAAACCGAGATCACTGTTTTACGTTAATATATCTCTTCGTCACAGTGATGTTTCTCACTTAGTTTGACAAATTCACTAGAACTAAGACAGAATTAAATTAATTTGACACTTTATTCATGGTACCTGGGCAGCTTGTATGAAATTGTTTTAACCAAAGCTCTGCTGATAATTCCTGTTCTGCTCTATTTGCTGTCAACTGGAGTCACAAAACCAAAATCCACAATTATCCATCTATTGTGTATATTGTTAATTGTTAGGGTCGTGGGGGATGTGCTGGAGCCTATCCCAGCTGGGCAATCGGCAGGGTACACCCTGGGTGTGTCATCAGTCCGTTGTAGAGAGAGACATTAAACACATTAGCTCATATTCTTCATTTAACCCAATATGCATGTTGTTGGACTGCAGGGAGAAACCAGAATACTTCACTGTGCATCTGTTATGGTAAGATCTATTACATAAATTGGAACAGTTTAGAATCAACATGTTTCTTTACATTTTTTAAATTAAATGTTTTATTACAGTCATCTAAGTATTACACCTCATTGTCAGCGGCTATTTTTTCTAAAATGTTTTCAGTCAGGTCCTTTTTAGGCTTAAAACTTAGAAACTTCAATAATGTAAAGTCATTTGAGGGAAACAATGTTGTTGTTAAAGGCTAATCATTTAAAGGAAATCTTTGAGGAATCTGATTGTGCAAAACATTAAAAACTCTTCACCTTCTGAGAAATGTCATTTACTGACATTTGCACGAGTCATGGTTTTGTATCATAGATTTGTGATCTTTTACAAACCCATATTTTCCACATGCTGAACGTGTCATTTTTTCCCCTGAAAAACGTGAGAGACTATATGATGCTTGAACAGTGATTTTATGCTGACTGTAGTCTTTAAAGACTGTTTTGCGTTTGATGAGTCAAATGAGTCACTGTATCTATGATCGCTTCCTGTTTTCACACACCTCAATTTTACGAGCGTATGTCAGCGTAAAATGACTTTCAAGTTATTAGTTTGAATGTGTCAGTCTGATTTAGACACCCTGGCTCCTCCCTTCACTTTATCATCACTAATATTTTCTTTCTAAAACACAGATAGAAGCAGCAAAATTGTTTCACACATTTATCAAATGAAATCTGAAGCTTTAACATTCAAATATACATCAGGATATGATGCCTCATTGTGGATAGCTGGAAAATAAAATAGCTGACATTTTGTTCAATACAAAACAAGCAGGACTTACGATTATCTTTAGTAGTAATGTTCAAGCTTAAGTCCAAAGGTAAACACCCTTCCACTCTATACTAAAATTGAAACCTTTTCAGTAAATGCAGTCCATGCAGTTTGGCCGATATAACCAAAATAGGATGTATAGTATTTTTAGATTTGTCTTACTCTCGTTTCTTGTTTTTGTGAAGTTTGCATGTTCTGTCTTTGTATTGAGCGTAATTATATGCTTCCCTATTTCTGAAAAAAAAAATCCAAAAGTAGAATGGTGGAAGACTAACTTGCCTGTAGTTTTACTAAACTTTTCCCGTGTTTAATGTATTCAACTTCGCTATTTATTTAATAATAGTCTTCATGTTTCATTTTACTACTAATTAATTAAACCTTGGTAGAAAAGGGGGCCCCACCTTCCGAACAGAAGGATAAAAAGAGAGATTGCCCTCCAAACTCTCCATTGGGCACCTTGAGTGTGTTAAATTTTAGAACTCAAATTCTGAAAAGTTGGGATGCCGTGTAAAATGTAAATAGAATGTGGGCAGTGGTTTGAAACTCTTACAAGCCAACAGTTTATTCAGAATAGCACACAAAAGCAAACATATCAGATGGTGAAACTGATACAGATTGATTTGGAAACATTAGACTTTTTCATGAAAAAGGTCAGCTCAACTTGAATCTGTCATCTCTCCAAGATAGAACATTAATCCACATGTATGACTGGCAACCAGAACACACAATGATTTCTGACCATTAATGATTTTTTTGGGATATATCACTATATGCACTTGATGATATGATATGTCTGTACTTCCAATATGAAACTGTTACTCAGAATTTCCATAATTCTTATACTTCTCGGAGACCTCACATGTCCTAATCTTACCGACATGGTAAAAATTAAGTGAATCAATTGTAACATATTCCTTTGCCTTGCTCGTTTTGTTGTAACATACTTTTCCTGCCTTGCATGTTTTGTATATACACATCCTAATTATTCTTTTAAACCCTGCTGCTTCCATCAAATCCAAGTTGGGCTGATATTTTTCATGTAATAGTAACATTTTGCATCCTATTTGCTTAATATAGATATCTTTGAGTTGTCTCTTTGTATGATTGGCATTATGCCATTTCTTGCCTAATGAATTAAGTTTGCCTTGTTGCTTTAAATTTCAAAGTAACTACTGCATACTCACACTTCTCCACGGGAAAGTACATGTTCCAAAACAATATGACCCTGAGGTTTCATGGAGTCTCAGATATAGCAATGTTGTATTCTAAAAACACCTCCCAACACTGGGACTGTGTTCAATGAATACAAGCTTGTGAATATAAAAACTCCCTGTCCCAGGTCAGAGAAAATATATTTGTAGCTTATTTTTGTGAGTTCTTTTTATTGGCTGTGCATGCACTATGACAGATATTATTTCCTTCTGCATAATTTATGGAAAAATAATGATTTGGGGAGGCATATATGCCATGTATGTCCAGTGGAACAACATAGGACCGCTCACTGATATAAATGAGCAGTGTCCTAGATTGCTATAACCTTGAATTATCTTTAGCTTGAAGTGTCACCTAAAAAGAAAATCAATATAAAAATGTAGGAAATGTGACCTTTTTATCTCTTTTTTTTTTTTGCTCTTTCAAAGGCCAGCATAAAAGTCAAAGTCAACCATTTTTCTGTTCATTGCTTATTTATGATGAAACAAAGTATTCTCACAAACAGAATTTAGTTAGATTATTTGTCATCTTCACAACTTTGTCAAAAAAAGTGGACCAGTCAAGCAAATATACAATACATGTTTATACAGTTATAGTAAAAAAAAGTGATAAGACAAAATATAAAAAAATATCACTTAATAACCTTGCAGCATTTGGAATCCAGTATTTCTGATAAAAGTAATAAACACAAGCTTTTACATGTTCAGGAAGTAAAATGACAGTTTAAATAAAGAACAATTGCACTCCTCTGTACATTCATATAACTGAGAAAAAAATCAAACAAGCTTTACTAATCAGCAGTCCAGAACAAACAACCCATCAAAGGACAGCCAAAAAAAAAATAAATGTATTTCATTATGAAATCGAATTCTTGCTCTCAAACAGCGAGAAAGCACTAATAAAAAACGCAGAATCTGCCAGCCCATCTTCCATAAAACAGTGTGCTATTTACATCTTAAATAGTGTACCATTTTTTCACAGATTCTGGTCAAAAGGTTTCCAGGAAAACAGACGTGTGGAAGTCACTAAGTGTGGAACTTTTTCGATTCTCTTCAGGTATATCAAATAAACTACCGCACACAGATTGTTGGTGAGGATATGCAACATCCCCTGTTACCTCATTTCATTTTTTAAAAATAAATTCTATTTTTCTAATCTTTCTTAGTCTTTTAAAAAGAAAAGGCCACCCTCTTTCAGTGTTAAGGTTTTATGCGTTATAAAGAAATGTATCTCTTTGATATAATTTCTTAGAATTAGATCGATTGCCAACCACATGTGAAATCTGTTACTATTCTTTAAAAATAACCAGAAAAAAGAGCAGAAACCATATGACTTGTAGAATCGCAGAATTAAGTGTAAATAACCATTTTCTGTGTCATGCTATCACACTAAGAATCTTTGGAGAATTTTTCCGTTGACTGTAAAATATTGACTCATTTCATTGCAGTTTGTAGACATTTGTTTCTGCAATTGTCCCACATGCGCTTACTACAGCATTTGAATGAGGCTGAGACAGGAAACACCTTGATTCATTACATGTTCTGAAATTCTGTGGTAGATTTGTAGGTGTGCTTAGGTGTCATTACCCTGTTGCCTCAAGAATACTTTGTGACACAGGAGCTGTTTTGGTCGGCTTAATGACCACTGCTCTTAACAGATGGTAAGAGATTTTTGAAAGCATGGTTTGTTTGGAATTCTCCAAACATGCAACTTGGCTATTAATTCCTATGGAAGGAGCCAGTTCTCTGTCTAGTTTTGCTGCTCATATGAAGTTGTATTTCACTAAATGTAAGACCTGGTAAGGGCCAAACTTTTTTCTATATAATACCCCAATACATAAAGTCATACAACTGAAAGAAAGTATCTCTGATTCCTGTCTGATATAATTTTATACGAAGAAATGTCTATATACAAATGATTTATATTTTTGAAAGTCTATTATTATTTCCCCAAACTGTGCCATTGCTGTCTGAAGCGTATGTGTATATTTTAGTGTTTTAACTGACCATTCATTAGTTTTTGGATATTCTGTAGACTGCATAAATCCTTGAATTCACTCTTCAATACCTCATTCATTTAATGGCTTGTGAGCTTTAAAACACGACTCATCCTTAAGCATGCTAACAAACATCTTTTCATACATCTTTGGTGCCAGGGCGGTTCCTATGATGCGACTGATCTTCTTGAGGCCTTTCAGCAGATAGCGTGGTGCTCCTTGGCTGCGTAGCACCCTCAGACTCTGAGATAGACCTTTTGCAAGATCCAGGTTGTAGTTTGCTGTTTTCCAAAGGTGGACAATCTGCAAGATGTACTGTCTGGATGGACAACCTGAGACAATGGCTTGAACATCTTCATCCTGAACCTTTATCCCTGGCAGGCTGTTTGTTACCTTCCTGAGGTCGGCGAGGGTTAGGTTTTTAAGGTTGTTGCAGCGGGAGACCTTTCTCTCACAGTGGCTCACACCTGCATATTCACAATACCAATATTAGTATGTTTAAAAAATGAATTAAAATTCAAACTTGACAGAGTCAGGTTAAGTCAATTCATTTTTAAGAAAATTAAACTCAAGTTAAGCAAATTGTTTAGAAAATACATGCTTAAAGACTATAAAATCAACTATCATGATCATTAGAATTGCAAATAATGCTCAATTTGACAGGAAGAGAGACATAGTGAAGGGCTTTTTATTAATTATCTGAACTGTTGTGGGAGTAGATCTTTCTTTCCTGTCAGTAAGTGAGTAGCAGCATAGTGGCTAAAATGAAAACCTACATGCGTCTTTAATTCATACCTTGTATGATTCCATACAGCTTGCCCTGGTCCTTGTTTTGCTCTCTCCACAGTCGCAGCAACTGTAGGACCTGCTGCTGAGGAGAACAGGCCTTCTTCAGCCTCTCCAGGCTCTTATGATCCACCCGCTGCCCAGGAAGACTCTCGAGCAGCCGTTCAAGGGACACAGAAGACAGTCTCAGGGAGGCTAGTGACTGGAAAACTGCCTCCTCACAAAGAGTCACATCTAAAAGGAATGAAAAGAGATAATTGTTTGAATATACAACAAATGCTGCAGCTACAGATGTTGTATTTGAGACAGCTGGGACAGAAAGAATATGCTTTCCTTCTACATATAGGTATTTGTTCACAGTAGAACACAATCAACTCAGTGCGCTAAGTATGCATGGTCTCTGGGCCTACTGTCATACTAGTGAGTCCTTAACAGGATATGGACATGACATTACTGACTGTTTTTTGTCATAGAGACAAGTATTTAGCTGAGCTTTTTTTTCTTATAATGTAAAAGTGAAAGAGCAGGTTATTTGTCAGCAAATTTTGAGACTTGTGAAACATCAGAGGTTCCTGTTGTCAGAGAGTATAGTCCCAGTTTATACAATCAGGGCAGTCTGAGTTTAAAGTAACGTGAAGGGGTTTGCCGTGAAATTGGGAATTGTATCCAGCATATTGAAATGCTTCAATGTTAAACGTAAAGGCTTGTTTCTGTGACGCATCGATGATGCAACTGTGGCTTGAATTCTGGCTGACATAGATATCCCTGCGGTTTATTCAAGTTACATACCAGCTTTGGGAATCCTCTGAGTTTCACATATTTGTTAATGAACTCCTAAACAGATCCAGGGTGAGCTGCAGACAGTTTGCGGTTGTGTACTTCACTGAGGGAAAATTTGTGAATGAATGCTTGAAGAAAGCCTCATCCTCCCTCACAGTTGACAGATCTGTGTATTTTATTGGAAGTGTGTTACTCATTGAGCTTGAGTGTGCCAGGCTCTGCAAATCTGTATGTGTGGTTTCTCAGGCTCACAGAATTAAGTGTCATGTTTGAGGCTTTCTCTGTCAAATTATGTGTCATCATCTGTGATAGTTCAAATGTGAGTAACAAAGCTGATCCAGCTCACTTTATGTTTGACTCAGTTTCCTCTGTTATTGTATTTGAGGATGTGACAGTTAAAGGGGTAATTGATTCATTATGGGTAATCTTGAAAGCAGTGTCATAAACATTTCATTCAACCCTGGTTTTTTCTTTCTTGTGTTGGTTTACAGACATCCAGGAATTTTGAAAAGAATGGAATCTGGACGATGAACCTGACCAAGGAAATCCCCTGCCTGCAGGAATGAAAATGACCGCAGGTCTGAAACAATTCAGTTCTGAATGATTTTAGGTTGTTGACAACAGTGGTTTGCTCAAAGCCCTGTTTTATGTATGTGTGGGTCCTGGATATAAACAGCCCTAATGATTTATACCCTGATCCCACACTACATCGGTCCAAAATTCTTGCGTGTGATTTCAGCCGATCATCTGGGTTCTCACCAGTATGGCACAACGAGTGAGGATGAGAGCACTCCGGTGGTGCCTTCTTGTCCTGGGAGTCACAGATGCTGTCCGAAGTCGATGTGCCCCACCTCAATGTCTTCAGACCCAAATCTGAGCAGTTTTTGTGGGGCTGACACGGCTCAGTGGTGGAACCGCCGGTGGAGAAATGACCATCAGGACAACGCTCGCACACAGTGTCACTCACTGGTGTCCCTGAAAGATGACCACAAAACGTACATCATATGAAACTGATAGCGCTGACAGAGGGATAAATGACTCTGAAGGAGAAAAGATTAAGCAGGTGTCAGTAAGAGAACGTGACCCAGCTCATGAGGTTTATGCATTAGGCTGATTCTAAGAACTACAAACAAAATGACACACTACAAGCATCAGGAGGACAGATTGCTGAGATTGATCTGTCCTATTTACTGCACCTACTTAGTCTCTACATGTTGTCTATTCTGTCACTGATAGAATATGGCAGCACAGAGAGATTGATGTATTGCTTTTTTTAACTATCAAAATTTTCTTTTTGCTTTAAAAAAAATCCGAATTACATCTTGTCAGAATGTGTATTCATCTTCACAATGCAAAAAATACAAATGACTTCTTTCACCTGTCTTCCCGTATAACATGTGATGATTACGGTAAAATGTGACAGCTTCTGGTTTTGACTGGAGCACGCATGATAACCCATGTCGTGGAACTGTTGTGCAATCACATCCTCATTTTTTTGCATGACTGAAGCATAGATGTGAAAGTGCGTGGGCTGCTGCTACACATCTATCAAATGTAACCTTTTGAACAGTTTCCCGCTATCATGGCACACACTGTACCAGCAATCATTTCCTGCCCCTCCGATGACAAAGCATGTACAATATACACTTGAGAAATTGAGAACATTTCAGATGATGACACAGATACTGACTTTAAATACTACTTCTCAGAATTACATTTGTGCCAGATCAGCCTCCTAGCGAAATTGGTTTCATAATGTAACGTAGAACATATGTCAACTATTGAACAGTCATTTAAATATTTCATTAAAAATACTAGTTAATTTTTATTTTAATCAAAATAACACATTTAAAACAGTCTGTAACCATCTAGAAAGAAAAGACACCAGTTGTTGGAAATCATGAAAATTTAGGAATAGATCTGTTGGATTTTTTGTTTCCTGATGTGCTCAATGTTTATAGTCTTTACTGCTGGACCAGTGAAGTAATTACATTCTACCCATATGATACCATACAGTTGTAGGAGATTAGGTGTGTATTTAAGTATTATATGAAAAATACTGGAATGGGAGCATATTTCTCTAAAATTTGCAAATACCTTTCACCACTGATGGTGGTTTTTCAGATGCACAAGTTACCAGTTCTAAAGGCTCTGGTGAATACTCATTAGATGCAGAGTTTTGTCCTGAGTGCTTTAAACACCTTGCTGGTCTGTTTCCTTAATCAATTATCAATTACATCCAACTGAAGGTTGAATGTGTTACTGGGGAACACAGAACAGTTTTGCATGTTTGTGTTTCTTCTCAGCAAGGTAGAGCTTTATCCTGCGTTTGTATACCAGTGAACCATGTTCTCAGTGAATTCTGGACGTGACCCTGAACCTATATTGGGAATTCAATGATAGAATTGTGTGTCTTTGATATCCAAAGATCACAGAAGCAAGTTGCTTCTTGTCAGTAGCTCTAACTGTTCTTGCCTTTTGTGGCTTCTAACTCAGATATGTTTTATTTCTTCCGTTTCAAATATATGGCTTTTGACAAAACATTCAATTTCAAAACTACATTTTTTACAAAGAGTTCTTGTGATTTGAGTTGAAGCTTGAATAAATGTAAAATTGATCTGCAGTGTTTCTGTCATTCCCTGGTAGGTTTATTTTATCACTTGGTTTTCAGTTTATCAATACAGCAATGACAAAGGATAATCAGCTACAAACACTTAAAACGTCCCATTCAGAGAGTGACCAAGAAACATACAAGTTAGGAGATCAAAGTGTAAAGATGGGGCCATAAACAGCATGGGTTTTAAGGAGACAGGGCTATTATCCTTGGTTTGAAGGCCTAAACCACAATTTGAAGCATTACATAATAGGTCTCTAATCTTCAAGGGGGCAAGGGGGGAATCCCCTGAACTGCTGTCTCATGTCTACTGAACTTCGCATCACACTCGCACACAGATGAACATCGCATCACATCAAATCCAGCTGTGGATCCATTAGTCAGCTTTGTGGAAAATGTTACTTCATTTTTGAGTGGTGTCAAAACTGCAGGGGTCATATGATAACCATAGTCACTGGAAAATGTTATTTTATCCTCGTCGTGGTTGGATTCTCGTGTCAGATAAAAGATGAAGTCATAAAAATGCGCTGTTCCAGTCTGTGCTGTGGTTTAAGCAGCAATACCAGACACAGCTCTGTATGTTAAGTATTGAATATTTCAATTCAGCATCAGTCTGTGCTTATGCTGCCAACAGTCACTAGTGACACAATAAACTGAACCATCACAACTTAATATTTTGTCTGCAGTCCCTTTAGAAATTGCTAAATCCTAAAGAAAGATTAAAGGAAAACCTTTCATTCCTAATTGAAATGCAACTATAACAGAAGATACATTTAAGTTTAGAGCATTCTGTCACAACCACGACTGTTACATTATTTAGGATGTGACAAATTATTTTTTTCTGTTCCAAAGGCACAACAACATCAATCTATAAGCCTTAGAAGGATGTCAGTGCATCCATAAAAAGATTATCTTGACATACAAGATATTTGCTGTTAAATCATTATTGCTGTGAAATTTATTAGGGAATCATAGCATGTAGGAATGCAAGAACCTGTGGAGCCAACACCACATCTATCATAAAGAGGTAACACCTTTTTTAAAAATTTGGGAAAACTATAAAAAACTTTACCCATATGATGCTGCACTCAAATCAAGCTTGCACCTCAACCCCTTCAGCTACAAAAAGTCCAGCAAGAAGTAAAAAGAACTGGCTGTATTAGTGCTTCACCATAAAATGTACAGAAGCTGACGAATCAAAGTTTACATTTAAAATGCAAAAGTGAACACATACAAAGGTTGACCAGCTATCAGTACTTGAGAAAGGTGTGATGAAAGGGCGTTCCGGAGGAAACACAACAAATATTTTTCCTGATGCACAACAACTCACAGCTCAACCCATTAACCTGAGAAGGCGCACAAGGGAAGATGAAGCCAGACAAATAAATAGTACATTTTCCACTCAATCATCCGAAGTGTAATCTTAGTGCCAGGGTAGTGAACTACAACCACTCAGAGCTGAGAAATATCTGAATAGTACATAACAGACAGAAACATTACGTACCACCAATGCTCTATAGCTGGTAAACTACGTACACAAATACAGATTGATCATTTATCGTGAAAAATCTACATTTAAAAACTTGCTATACATAAAGCAGACACTGATTTGTCACTGATATTTCAGGGCTGTCGCCAATAATTTCTGTCAGCATGTGGCAGAATAGTATTGAGTTAGCAAATGATTTGAAGATTAACTTCACCACAGCAGTTTTCTGTGAGTTAGACAGATAAGGAGGAAGTGTTTCTAAGAAAAGAGTTTCTAAAAAGACTGCTTTAACCCTATAATGCCTGTAATGCAGGTCTCCTGAAGCCCCCTGATTTATCCAACCGCTAAGGGCTGATTGATGACTATGCCACATGTATCATATTTGATACATATTATTTTCTAAAATGTTTTGCATCTGAGACATTTTGCATCACTAAATGGCAAAAACTTTCAAGTTATCTTATCTTACCTGATAAGAATGGGCATAGGACTACACAACAGTAATTTTCAAATATCACACAGTAACAAAAGATAAATATTCCAAAACATTTCTGTTTTTTTTTTTTTCATATTCTGTTAAAGGGGGAAAAACTTAAAACAACAACAACAAAAATTATCTTTATTTCTTCTTGGATTAGGCTTTAAATGGTTAAAAAAAAAGTTTTTTGTTTTTTTAAGCAAGATGGGCATGTGGAAAAGATCTGACTCACTGACTTTTAGAAAGAAGATGAAAGACCAAAAGTGATGAAGTTAACAATTTGAAAATGTATTACATGTAAAAATTAAATGTTTGTTTTTGAAAGTACTTGAAAAGTTTATTCACTCTGTGTTGTAGTTGGCCACAAATATGTTTTCCATTAAAAAAACGGTCTCTATTTTAATTACTCCAAATTTTTACTTCTCTCTTATAGTCTGCTCATTTGTTAACTCAATTCCATAGATTAATGAAAGTTTGTTTTTTTTGCTATCTAATTAATTTATCTATAAAGACTGTAACTGTATCATGATACATGGAAATGTATGAAAGTAATGCAGTTTGTCAATACAGTTGATACAATCTACAAATGTTCAAAATGATCTCTTACCTAAAGCCGTCACTCCATAACCAAGTGGACAGGAACTGTGGGCAATACAGAACTCCACCTCTAGGTGGAAGCCTGGAGCACACTCACAGAGCTGGTCGTGGGTGCTGTTGCAAAATTGTCTCACGAGCTGTTTCTCCTTGCAAATCTACACACATCAAACAAAGCAGGGCATTTGTGAGGCTATGATGTCGCCTGCACAGTGTCACATACATTATTCACAACTGCACAGTAATTGCCATAATTGACAAACCATGGTGATAATGATGTTGTCACTCCAAGAGCTGCCTTGAATTAAAAGTGACATAAAAGACCCACAGTAAAAGTATATTGTAAAGAAGAGGCTATCAAATCACATCTGCAGAGTTTGAAATAGAAAAATACTCTTTCTACCACAATGAGCTCATCATAACTTTCGTATTTAGTAACAATGCATAATATGCAGCTGTTGGCTTAAAAAAATGACAGAATTTAAACAAATTCTAAACTCTAAACCCTTTGGCACTATACATACCGAAGTGCAGTACTGGCATGTGTCCCCCCAGTGCCAGTTCTCAGCAAAGTGCCTCTCAGGACAGGGCTGGCATTCAGTGGGCGTGTCGGCGGTGCAGTGATGTTTAACGGCGGTGCCGGGGGGGCACTGCTCGCATAAGAGAAGGTCAGACGTCACAGGGTCTCGATGATGGTACTTTGGTGGTAAAGCTGGTTGCTGAAAGGCCCAGGATAGAGAAGCTGTGAAGAGCTACAAGAGAAAGGAGATCAGTTTGACATTGAACTCAAAAGCAGCAAAGAATGCCCCAATGAAACCTCTGAAAAAAGTTTAAATGACTACTTTAACTTTTATTTTGGATTATCATTATTTTGCACTTCCTGACCTAACGTTTCTAGTGAGAGTGAGTACAAATTTCAAACCGCACTGAAGCCCCTAGTGTGGTTTGAAGTCTATAGTTCGAGTTGTCCACAGGAAACGTTCCAACAAATGTTTCCATCACAGTGATTTCTTTACCATAATATCTTATCTATAAAGAATAAGCTTAATTCTTTTCATTCTTGCAGTACCATCTTCTTATATTGCTTCAAATCATTTTCAATAACTTCCCCTGTGCTGCTAAATCTAAAATATCCACATCTATAGTCCCAAACCACAGAAACAAATCTCTGACTTCACACGTAGTTTTTGCCCTTGTCAGCAGCTTTGTGAGACAGACTGTTCTGCAGCTGCAAAGCATCTGATGTGATTCAAGGGTGATGTATTGCACTTTAATACTGCCCCAGAGCAAGAACAACTCCACACCCATTCTCCCCACATCCACTGAGAAAAACAACCTGTCTCCTTTTATTCTTGATTATTTGGATAGCTGATAATGAACCTCCTAAAAATGCCTTTTTTGCTTCTATCTAATAAAAAGACCATGTTAAAAAGAGCTTTGGCCAGCCTGTAACGTACAATTTCAGTTTGTGAGCATACTCCACGTGTAGCCTCGCAGCAAGACAAGGCCACATAAGGACCAGATGTCAAACACCAGTCCTCTTTCACTGAAGCTCCTCTCCCATTGCCTCTGTGGACTTTCCCGTTGGCCGGGATACATCCTTGGTGCTTGGACAACTAACTAACAATAGTTTACCCTGCATCTATTGTTTGTGCTTGAATGTGGTTCTCTGCTTTTTATTCCGCATGTGCATCTTCAATATGAGTGAATTCACACCAAAAAAAAGCTAAAGAGCATCTATGCTAAAGTACGCAGGCGTAGGAATGTGTTTGTTGCGCGTGTGTGTCTGCATGTTTGTGGAGGTTCACATCCAATTACTGTCTTCCTCAGTGCTGGTCTGCGTGCTCTGCGGCTGTAGAACATAAAGGGAACTGTTGGAGGTTACTGGGCTTTCCCCATTTGCCACCAGAGAACAAAACACACAGCTTACGCTACCACACACCATTGATCTCCTTTCTATATGTATGTATTTGCACTTGCAACCACAAAAACAATCTACAATGTGTTGATGAGCATGAAACTAAAGACCCTTCATAAAGCCAATGTGCTTATTCCAAAGTGCACTTTTATTCACTCTTATGTAATAAAATATCTGACCACAGAAATCTTTTATCAGAAATCCATGTGAGTTCTTTGAGGGGATAGAGTTTGCAGTTCAGCTGTCTTCCCTATATGCCATAAACATGCTGTTTGTGCTGCAAACTGTTTTCAGCTACTATCCTGCATTTCTTCATTTATTACCATACGTGTACTCACATACATTTGTTTGAGTGATGAAAAGAGTTTGTTTTTATTATCTGTTTCGAGTTTCCTTGAAAATGGTGGTCACTGAAAAAGACAGTAAAAATAGATGAATGGGTTTCACACACCATAATAGAAACCTAAGCTTCAAACGGCCTGGCGAGCGCAGCGGTTTTCCCGGCAAAACCTATCGACCTCAGAACACAGCGTTTGGGAGAAAACTTTCATGTGCAACTGTGGACTACCATGAGTGCATTAGCCTGCGTGTAATATGGGTGGCCCCATCAGGAATCAAACCCACAATCACAGCCTTACTCTTCAAATTAAGAACTGTATACATACTTTATTAAGCCACGAGACCACATCCAATCAGTTCAGAAAGACCAGGAGGGTGGAGCATACTGATGGTCTGTCAGAGGGTCACCTGGAATCTTGGCAAATCTGGATTTAGTTACACTAGTTTTGGCTTAAGTGTTTCCTCAAGTCAGGGTAAGTTCAGTGGTGCACTTGAGCCTTTGGCTGGAGCATGAAATACAAACAGATTCAAAGAAATGATTCTTGACAGTTTTTCAGGTCAAATAAAACTACAGGCATTCTCAGTTATGTTTCTGATGATAGACAAATAGGAAATCATCGGAAAAGCCATTTAAACTTCTAAAATAGGCCTAAAGGGAAAAGGATTCAACATTTTAGTATTCTTTTCTCATATCTTACCCAGTCCCCATCTTGTGGAATCTGCACTGAGAGGCCAGTATTGCAGAATAAACGACAAGAACAATTTAATAAATTCAAGGCTATCAGTCATCAGATGTGTGGGATAACAGTGGATGAAAATGACTTGGCTTTCCATTTGAGAGCCGGCTTTGAGGAGAAAGTACAACAGATGTATATCTTCAAAAAAAGCTTTTCAAATGACTGCAGGTCATTTTATTATTGCTTGAGCAACTTCAAAAATGTTGTTTTCACTGTAAAACGTTTACTGTCATATGTACCTTTCCACTTTCCAAACTGACCAACACAGTAGCTTTCTGCCTCTGAGAACAACAAAAACATGTCCCGTGCCATGTGTTTTAATTGGTTGATCCACAACAACAAAAACCAAAAGAAGATATTGAACTTTTCACCCCCCTTTTGATTTAGAAACCAGCGTCTGACGACATCAAGGACAACCGCTGGAAACTCAAATTACACAGCAGCTCGGGACAAATGACAGCCATAATTACACTGTTAGCATCTTCAGAACAAAGGTTAGCAAGAGGCATATCCTACATGGAGCAGTGCCAGCTCAGGGGGATGGATGGAGATACAGAGTTTTGTAGAACCCCTTGAGCAAAACTGGGCAGGTAGGTGTCACTCCAATGACACTGCATGTTGTAAAAATAGGCTTCCTAAATAATCCTCCCTCGGGTAATTACGGTGCAGTATTTATGTAGTCTAAATGCAGTTTACTGTTAAATGTATGCCAGGAAATCCTGTGAGAAGTAAACTGAGAAAAGGCCCTGTGTCTACAAAAGGAAAAGACAACATAAATAAACTATTCAAAAGGGAAAATATGCTTTTTAATGGATGCTCTGTTCTTGGATGTAACAAGCAACATCACAAGTGTGTGAGGGATGATGATACATGTGCGTATGCTGCGTCCAGAAAACTGACCACACTGCCCACAACAACGCAGATCCAGACAGATGTTTACAGGTTGAAAGACAGTATTTAGTGAGCAAAGTTTAAATTGTGTCTTTGTCACAATGCTAATACGGGCTGACCTGGACCACAGGCCATCGGACCACTGGTTCAAAAGACTGATGAAATCTTTATCTTCACCCGTCAGTTTACTGAATGAAATGCCACGCAATGCAAAACACATGGAGTTTTGTGGAGTAGTCACAAGGTTTTTACACTGACAGTGAAAGGTCTTTAAATATCACAAGTTTTTGCATATGGGTTTTGCATATGAGGCAGTAAGTGTTTGGGTGGTTAATTATTTTTAAATATGGGTAAAAAAATAACAGGGGTCATGAATAATCTTAAAACTGGAGCTTGGCATCTTCTAATTGGAACTTTCTTTTTTTTGTCACACAAAACTTGAAAAAAAAAACCAGCCAATCCTTGATGTCTCAACATTTTGCTGTATAACCCCAGAAAGTGTGTGTTTAGATTTGTTTCCTTTTTTCAATGAATTATGAATCTATACTGCAAAGCTATAAACACATACTATCTTCCATCTCTGATGGAAATGTTCAAAAGTGATTAGCTAAGTTATTGCATTCATTTAGATTTGAGGATAAAAGTTGCTCTGAACCTGGCATACCCAAAGCAAGATATTCCAATTTTGGTTAACCTGAAGTCAGTTTTAAAGCTATGATTTGAGTAAAAAAACAACAGGACTTCTGGCTCATAGGGCCAAATCAGCGCTACACCAGCTCATCCAGCAGGCACATGGATTCAGTTAACTGTTGAGTGCAGGTGGTCTGAGGGGGGATTCCAGCTCATAAGTTGGTGTGTGTGCGTATGTGGTAGTTTGTGTGGATATGGAATCTGCCTTTTTTCATTCATACTGAGTTTGGTCTCGCTGCCATGCCACATCTCAAAATACTCGCTCCATCCTTTCAAAGCAAGTGTGCCTCTATCTTGTTAAGAATCTTAAAAACTCAAGAGATAAAAAAAATAATTCAAGCACATGTTGAATGTGGAGATTTTGCAAGTTCAAGCTCATATTGTAAACCTGATGAGCTTGGACATTCTGCTGATATCCGAAACAGTGAACAGTGAATTTTCTTTTTGGTTTGAGTTTCACAGATATCTATAATTTGTGCTCCTAGCCAAACAGAAATAATTCCAAAAATTGTAATGAGCCCAGTCAACGCCAAAAACAATCAGGCATCCAACAGATTTATCATAACGAAAACACTTCTTAATAGCTCTCCAGTTATTGGCCTGTTAAATCAGACAACTTCAGCTTTATCTAACGTAGAAATCCAGAGCAAGGAAACATTTGACCCAAAAGAATCAGGGTCTCCAGAAATTCTTTGCTGGCGCAGTCTAAAAACTCTAGATTTACAATGGGATCATGCAGAGCGGCCCGTCTCCAGATGGACACCCACAGAACTACACTTTCAAACTATTAGCATAACTGCTAAACTAATAGAACTTATTTACCTTCATGTACATATCTTTGGGTCTTGAAATAACTCATTCTTATGCATAATTACAAACACAATTAGTTTATCACAAAAGTAACACCCCTCTACATACACACACACACGCACACACACACACACACGCGCACACACACACACACAGAAGTAAGGACTTTTACTATTTGCTGTTGCTGAAAAAGGGGAAGTCAGGTGTGGAAAAAACCCACACAAGTGATTGATGCTTTCTGAATGAAGGACTACTTGTTAGTTGGAAAACAAATATTTATCCTTGATCTCCATCCACACATACTCTTTCTTTTTCCCTACCGTCTGTCCCATCAACTTCCTCACCATCCTGCCCTACTCTGTCTTGTAAAAGAAAAACAAAACACAACAAAGAGGTGAGTTCTTTTGACTGAGCGAGCACCCAGTGGCGTCTGTGTGAACTTACTATGAAGTTTGAGGAAGTTAATGTCAACGGCCACAACAGAGAGTTGAGGAAAGGAGGTGTAAAGATAAGGAAACACACATAATAGATAACTGATAAGAGTAGACAGGATTACATGGACTCCTGCAGAAGGGATTTAAGGTAACATTATAGGATGAATGGAGAGATAGATGAGATGAATGTCAACTTACTGTCTGAGTAGCACACAAATATTATATGTTACAACAGCAGAATTAGCTGTTTACTTCACCAAATATTTAAAAGGACAAACTTACAACCTGACAAAATGCCTGATAAACTTTGGTCTTAAGAAGACAATAAGCAATGTGCATTCAGAAAATGCACAGGAAAAAAGAGAGTGCACACGTGCCAGAGGTGCATTTGTCCTGCTTTTTCACCAAAGAAATGTTTTGAACACAAAATTGCAGAGTGTCTCTGCAACATTAAATTACCTACTGACTGAGCACTTGAATAACTGACTCATTGGTTGGCGAAAAAGATGTTTGTCCTCTTTCTCAAAGGACTGAAAGACTGCTTGATTGAGTGAAACACAACAGTTCAGTAACAGCAGGAGCTAAACATGTGCCTCCTTTTAGACAGTCAGTCAGATCTGCAGCGAGATGACATTGCGCTGTGAAATTGTAAATAGAGGCACGTACGTGCTCATTTGTTTGTGTGCTTCTTGCACACAATGAAGCAGGGCCCTATACAAACAGATTCAAAAAGTGGCCATGCTTGTATGATGCAAAACATGTTATCTGTCATCATCACTTTCTCTCTAACACAAAGTCAAACAGACATGGTTCACAAGAAGAGATAGTAGAGTTTGTGTTTTGGAGGTACAGAGAAGGATTTGTTTCTGCCCTGATGCATATCAGTGTATTAACATATGCAAAACGTGTGATGTTCCAATGCTGCACTACATGCAAAACATGCCACAGAAAATAATAGCTTTTATCCTGGAGGCATATGAGTGAAAATAACAAATTAGTTAGACAGTCTGCTGTGAGCAGGGGACCAATTGAACGGGAAAATGTCCTTCATTTTAAACATACTTGTATAAAAGTAACTAAATGTAACTCAACGTAAGCTGTCATCCAATAATGATAACTGTCGATCTCGGTGTGCCAAGTATTCGTACCAGTTAACAAACAGGTAGGAGAAATATGAGCTCCATTCACACACAAAAGCATACAAGTCTAAAAGATGGACAAAGCCAATTTTCATTTTTTGAGAAGGCCTGGCAAATTATCTTAGATGTTCTAGAAAAAAATATAGTTTGACAGGTCGAGTTAGTCTGTATTACATCACAGAAGCTCGGGGAAAAGCATTCATCATCAAATGAAAAACCGGCACAGGTTTCTGGAGATGTGCAACTCCTATACATGTGTACGGATTAAAGGTAAAATTCCTAATATAAACCATGACGACGCTCACTTTATTGTCACAACTGAAAACGAGTGAGTCCAAATGTAACCGTATCACTCTGTTTAAACGCAAAACTCAGTTGAAATGGTCGAGTGCGTAACTGCGACGCACGGACAAACCACTGGTCCGTATGGTAACCTGGACACCATCTAAACTACTTGCACATAAACAGAAGTTAACCAACGTTAAGTGATTTTTTTTCCTTCTTTGCACTATTTTGTATTGTAAACTAAGTGTCCCGTACATGCGGACGAAAGCGATAAACTGATTCCAGTTTAGGCTTGACACCCGGCGCAGCGCAGCAGCGCAACGTTTCTGCCAAGAAACCAACTGAAATCAAATATTCTCTAATCAATAACAAAATGTATCACACTATATATTTTTTTAAAAATCGTGCTGCTCAAGAAGCGCCGCAGGAGCCAGGCTTACTCACCACTATTAGTTTCATGGCCGGGTTGGATTTCACTATCCGTCTGCTCATCTCCACTGCGTAAAAGTGAACTGCGGTGTGATGGGGTCTCCATAACAGATCCACTCTTATATGGCGAGAACGGGACACAACTGTACCCACCCACCTTATAGGCTAGCATTTTCCCCCCAGTCATAAATACACGATTTTGCGTCAGCGTAGTGACTGAAGTGGGCGACATCCGAGGAAACACATGGTCAAACAAATCCCAAACGCCGAATTCACGGATTCAGTCATGAATTCAGTAAAAACATCCACGATATTGTAGGTGGCACAGATATCCCAAACGTCAGCCTGACTCCACTGCATACGTCAGGGCAAAGAATCTGTATAAACTAATGTGAAACACGAGTATCCTTTAACAGATTGCTCGTTGCCCATCAAATGATATGCACCTATAAAAATTCGTTTTGAGTACACACACTTGACGGTGTGTTTGATACCCAAATGATTGTGTCTTATTTATAACTAAAAGCACGGTTAAGTAAAACTGCACACGTTTTTATCTTGTGCACATAGTGTAAGGTATATTAACAGTAACAGTCCATGATAAAGCATTCATCCATAATACATACCATTTGTCCAAACAGAAATAAAGCTTTAATCAGTGTGAACAAAGGAACTTTTCCTATATAAATAGTTGTTAGTTCTTCACTATCTATGTACAATTCGACTAATGGGAGAATTACTGAGTCAGCCTGGTTATGATTATTTGAACTTATAATAAATAAACTTGGACTGTAGATAAACAAGAGGTAAATAAACAAAGCGAACCATCATGGTGTATGTATGGTGAGCCCAAAAGAATTGTGAGCTGCTGTAAGAATGGTAAATGTGGTGAATCAACATGTATCTTACTAGATTTATTTTGAAAATATTTGACACATACCCACCCTTTTATTTAATCAATAGCTGAAGTATTTTGTTTTATTCACAGCCTGAAGTTAGTCCACATTTTGAAAGATTTGTCTGATGATTAAAAACAAAATGATTATCCCCTTCTCTAAAATATATTCTGTTCTGGCTTTATCTCGTTTGAGGTTGCAGTTGGAGTATCTCAGCTATTTACTTTTTATGAAGGCTTTCCTCACTATCTAGAATGCATGCCTTTGAATGGGATAGAACTGGAGTATCAATTAAAATGATGGAATAAGAATACCTTAAATGCCACAACAAAAAAAGTGTCAAGCTATGATTTTAGTATGGCACCCTTTGAGCTGTGGTAACCATGCCGACCACCACTAAAGTGCACCACCTCTTCAGCCCCTTTGAACTTCATTAGTTACAGTTAGGAAGAGCAGAAATGGCATACAATTAGAGAGTCAAAGTAGCTATAATAGGTTCTCTTTTTATTTATGAAATGGCATGAGTGCTCACTCAAATGAGGAACAGGGAACCACAATTTTCCACTCATTTAACACATAGGAGACATTACATCATGAACTGAAACTTATTTAGTCAGGAGTTTAGCAGCTTAAGGACCAACACTACAATCAATAAGAAGAAAGGTTTCATCTTACATAGTCGCTTTTATCAATAACAAAGTGCTACCGAGGCTATGTGAGATAAAAACAATGACAATCCAAAAGTGTAAGATGCAAACTATGTAACATAAACACATCATTACATCTCTGTTTGTTCCAAGTCGTTATTAGGTCAGTGAAGATGTTAAAAATTTATTTCTTTTCACTTTAAGAACATTTTCAATTAAAATTCTCGACAGAGGCATTCACTTTACAGGACATTTCCTCTGTCACTGAACATGTCAACCAAATCATTCATATCTTAGTCAAGATATATAACAGGCAGGCACACCAACAATGTGATTTTAATTCTATACAAAGGGCAGATGACATCTGACGTAAAATGCACCAAAATAAATCCGGTTTTCCATTTGCCTTTGCGTAGCTTCCCATTTCAACCAGTACAGAGATGACAAAATGTCACATAGATGACGTAGAGGCACAAGGTCTCAGCGTAATCAGAGAAAAATACACACTCACCCACCTACAAGTCTCTCTGAGGCAGAGGAAATGTTAGTGGTGAGGTCAAAGCTCCCCACAGTATGACTGAGTGCACACATGCACACACATGCGCGCACACACCCTCACAATCATAACAACAAAAGACTAAAACAAATAGACACGCTGCACACATCTTTCACCATCGTGGACACAATCCACCACAACAATGGTATAACCAAAATTGGACGTGTAACCTCCCAAACACGCAGTTGCACACATGTGCTCTTCAACGCATCTTCGTGACAGGGTTCTGTGACGTGTTTGTTGGTACTGAGGCCTGTAGTGTTGAGCCGGTAATATCTGTGTGTTATGTGGCACCGGTTCTTTACTCTCTGTATGGTTCATACACATTGCTAACTACATTTTATCAATAACTGTGAAAGAAACCTTCTGATAAGACAGTCAAACTGGTTTTAGTTCAATCTGAAATGCATTACCTCTCAGATTCCTTGACTGAGCCCATCTAGTATTATGTCTCTTCCAAGTGCAATATATCGAAATCAGATACAAAGGTTTCTAAATTTGACCATCTAGCAGAGAACTGGCCAAAGTAAGAGATTACAGCTTTAGGTTAAAACTAATTATAAACGATCCCTGATTTAAATTTATCTGCTCAGATGTAAAGATTAGCCCTTTGTTTTGGTTTGAGTATTTGGTTTGCATACTAACAGCGGATAGTAGACTGTTGAAATTGATTGTATCTGCTGTGCATTAATCAGCTATGCAGTTCACACTTTTATTCATAAGTTGATGTGTGTGTGTGTTAATTAACAAGTGTGGTATGCTGCTAAGTCCCTGTCATTTTCATAACAGACCTCGTGAAAATATGAGTAAAAAAGGGAACAGGTACTTGCTGCTTTGTTCATAATACAATGGGCTGTTTTTCACCTTGTTCTCCAACGGCTGTTGAACACGCATGCAAATAACACAAACCAGAAACACGGGAGATTATTATGGCAGCACAAATGGAGAAAACACTCATTTGGACAACTCCAAAGATAGTATCAAACATCTGTCAGCTATAGTTTGAAAGAAAATGTTTGACCACGATAATTATTGTCCCCGAGTGGTTAAATCTTTAATTTTATGTCTGGTGTGTTCACTTTTTTTTTCTTACAGCAGATTTGGGGTAATATGTATTTCTCCATTTTACAACTGCATCCCTTTTATTCTGAATCAACAAATTTCATCCCACTATTTCAAAGCAGTTTGCAAGCACAGTATTCTAAACTGAGATTCCAGACCTGAAAGGGCCCTGAGGCACCCCAAAACCAAGAGATGTAATCTACACTGACTCCTGTGTCTGTTCCAAAGCCTCCTCCCAGTGGAACGAAGATATCCAAAACCATCTCAACAAGTTTTAATTTTTATGGAGAAGTGCAACAAATCGTCTTGGAGCCCTTCTGTATGGGCTCCGTATCCCACCCACAGAGGTAGGTTCTTCTGTGGGTGGGAAGAGGAGCCGCCTCCACCTCATTTGAGCCATTTATCTTCTCATTCTTTCGGTCACTAACAGAGCCTTTCGGCTGAACTCTTTCTTCAACTCAGAATAGTACAGTGTCCATGGCAGAGTAGCCAATGCTGCCCTCTGTTTGTCACTCATCCCCTTGAGGCAGCAACTCGCTCTAAAACCAGAGATGGCATTCCATCTTATTTGAGATCGTGGCCTCAAACTCAGCAGCACTAATACTCTTCTCGGCTGCTTCATTTTTGGTTGCAAACTATCTCCGCTTGATGAAGCCAACTGGAACACACGATCTGTAAAAAGCAAAGATATGATCCAAAGGCAACCAAACTGGAAACCCTCTGGCCTTTGACTGCGTTTCCTTCAAAATTACAAACAGAACTAGACCCAAGAGGCAGCCCTGGCAGAGTCAATCAAGAATTGACTGTCTTATCCTGGTTAACATTTGGAGTCTCAGTTCAGTGTTTGAGTGTAACCATTACGCCGCAGTTGTAAGTGTCTATGCGCATTTACTTTTGATTTTAGTAGCTGTTTTGTTACAATGTTTTTGCCAAGGTAGTTGGGCTGTTACCACGGTAACGGAATCAACATAAAAGCGCTTGCTACTTTCCGAAGTGTACTCAGAAGTATTTTACACACTTCATAACTCTACTTTGGCAAGTTTGGAAAGGGTTAAACAACCAAATAATTTTCAGTCAGAGACTTCTTCAGCTGAGCAAAAATATATCAATTGATTAATATCAAAACAGCACAAAAAGAAGCTACAACAGCATTAACTCTTCCTATTGAAAAATGTTAAATGTAAAAAAGGCTAATAATAATTCAATTTATGGGGGAAAAAAATATGCTTAGATATTCAATTCAACAGACATAATCAATAGAATCAGTTTTAATACTCATTCTTTAAATAAGGCGACCCCAGTGTGAAAGGTTTTAAGCAAACACTGGTCACATCACCTCTCTCTATGTTGATGCAGCACAGTCTCAGAAGAAGCATGCTGCCTTCTTAGGATCCTGACCTTCTCATATTCCACTTTCCGCCATCCCGTGGTCCACCTCAGAGTTTTTGTTTCAGGATATTTTATACCTCATGTTGCCCAGGCCCCTCAGATGGAAATTACAATGGACAAGTCTTTATTTTACTAAGTAACGATTAAGCCTCAATGGCACACTGAAATTAACAGTGCGAGGCAAACACTGATTGAAACAACATGAAAATATGGGGCAGTAGCAGGGATGGGTTAACAAAAAGGCAGAAGAGAAAAGACACTGATCAGTAACAGCACACAAAGTGTCTGTAAAGAGGGTGAAAAGAAAGCAATGGGAGAGGGAAACATCCAGACAGGCTTAAAGAAAGGATGAGGCTTCCAGCAGATTATGTGCCCAGCGTTGGAAGTGTTGCCAGTCAAAGCAGTGAGTCACATTTGACCTTGAGAGAAGAAATAACAGCAGAGGGATCCCTGGATTTCCACAGCAGCTGATGTGGTCACCTTGTTTTCTCTGGTGAGGTTTCTGAAAATGATTTAGGGGAAACTCTTCTGTGCTTATGAACTGCGCGGTGTTCGGTGTGACGCATGTAATGCGGCTTACTCTCAGGAGAGGCGCGAATG